TCTGAACAGAGGATTAGAGAAGAGAGATCGTTGAAGCAAAGTCAATGAATCAAGTGGTTTAGGAACACCGCTTTAAACTCCTCCACATTATTATTCTATTATTAATTTAGAACAATAATATGAAGATATTATTGATTTAGAACAATAATATGAGCTTCAAGGTCTTATACTACTCACTGAATGGATATAATATAAAATAAATTACGATATGCCGAATAGATATAATATGACATGTGAATAGATAAAACAAACGAAGAAAAATAAAGAAAGAAAAAATTCTTATCGTGATGGGATTTTCTTATTAACATTGTCAGTCAAAAGGAGTTCCGTGTCGCCTCCCATGTTGTAAGTCGTCGTTGGCAAATGATTGTCAGGGCCCCACAGTTGGCGCCAAACTGTAGATGCAAAAAATCTACTGTCATGAAAATAAGGTCTGATCCCATGAGGTTGAGGCCACTGTCAATCCGCTAGACCTGCACATATGAAAGGGCAAGTGTGAAGCTTTCGGAAAACACCGGGGTGGTGTTTACCGTAGTCACTCCAATGCTCAAGTCAGCAAGGCTGAAAGAATTAAGGAGATGAATAATTACCAGGAGTCTTGTCGGAAGCTAGGACTACGGCTGAGGCGTCGAGTTCTCGGAAGCAAGAACTTTAGGAGCAAATAGATGGTTTTGAGTAGTGTAGATTAACTATAGGAGATTGCCCCCTAATGAGAGGGCAAGCCTATGTTTTTATAGTGAACTCAAGGGGTTGAAATCCTAGTAGGACATTGAGTCCTCTTTTTTGGGAGATAATCCATATCAAGAAAAAAATATGATTTCTTGACCTTATCAGATTAAGTTTAATAGTTTAAATAAGATTTGGAATTTTAGTAGGACATTAAATCCTATTTTGGGAGATAATCCCTATCATGAAAGAGATATGATTTTTTGACCTTATCAGATCAAATTTAATAGTTTGAGTAAGATTTGAAATCTTAGTAAAAGAGGAAATAGAATGGAATTCTGATTTCCTATTTATAGACTATTGCAGGCTAATGAGCTGAAACCCAGTTTAGCTTAACTTATAGGATAGTCCAACTCATAAAATAGTTCGCAAGGTGATTTTAAGCGTAAGTCTAATCGAGATTGGGTTGAGACCTTGGGCCGTGATATGTTTATTTCATTATTGGGCCTCGTCAATCCCAAGACGATTTTTAACCTTAACATAAGCTGAACATAATTGAACTAAAACACAAGTTGAGAGAAGACTGACTTTTCTGTAACATTGTCCTGTTCTAGTTTTAAGAACCTACTGTCTTTTTGTATTGGGAAGTTGCTGGCTTAGTGGGGTTGTTAACCTGTTCTGTAGTTTTTCTTATCATGATTTGACTTAGGCGGCCAATGACAAGGCTTTTGAATTTTCTATATTTATGTGTATATGCAGCTTCTCTGATACTTGAAAAAGTCATTTCATTTTGATTAAATATGCAGATTTGCTGGAAAAGGGATACATCAAGGATCATGAATTTAGCATATCAACCCGCACCAGCTCTGGAGCGGGACAATAATTTCACAGTGATAAGCTATGGGTCAACTGTATATATGTATATATGTGTTGTACCTTTGATTAATATTGACTCCTACTTAACCATGCATGATCTGTATGACTTTCAATATTTGATTCATAATTAGCAAGATCATTTATTTGTTCAGCCATTATGATTTTTCATGCTTAGCTATGGTATGGATTTGCAAGATTGTTAGCTTGTATTTGTCTACGCATGTTCATGTTTAATTTATAAATGCATTTTACTGCTCAACATTAATTCAGAACAGAAGCATGAGATGAATGATAAACGAAATATAAAAGCCATCTATTGTTGAAATTCACTAATAAAAACAACAGTCCCGCCGTCGTCGCTTGTACTTGTTATGATTTAGTGTTCGATGTCGAACTGAATCACAGCATCCTTTATGTTTTCAAGCAAATTAGAATTTCTTCTGCATTGTTTCAGACCCTGCTTCGGCTGCTGTGAAACTTGGAAGCACTCTTCTACATATCTTGCAGCAAAATACAATTGCAAAATGCTACCATTGATATAAAAGTTGATTCGAAATCACAGGTGTGTTTATTTTCGATAGAGTGATCCAACATCAAATGTAAAAGTTCTTCTTGAATGAAATAGAAGCAACAACAAGAACAAATATAACAATAAAACAAAACAACAGTAAAAGAAAATAACACCAGCGATTTACCCTGGTTCACCCAATGTGGGCTACGCCCGCTGAGTTAATATTATTGCAATATGTCTCATCTCTCTCGTTTACAATGAATGAATTGTCCTATGATTTCTATCATCCATAACAAGAGAAAAATTGTTTATATACTAGGTTTAAGAGACTAAACCTAGTTTTACAAGGATTCCTATTCCTAAACCCAACCCAATAAGGAATTAGTAACTTAAAAGAAATTTTACAGCGGTTATACAGGGGACCCCCGAATGGCGTCTGCGTTACCCATTAATGCTGAAGTAGTCTATACCTCCAACACTTCTCAGCTACAAAATATCATTAAGCATTGAGCATCTACTATATTTTTCTTTGATGGCGTTGGCAGCTTTCAGCAACCTCAGTTTCAGTGGAAAGTTTTTGCCATCCACGAAGATTATAGCTTCCTTGAAATTGCCTCATTACAGCTCCAGTGAGGTATAAAACCCTTAATCATTGGCTGTTAGTGTGAATAGGTTGTCATTATGAGGTCAATAGGTGGATTATACTAAGCCTGGTTGGATTAGATGATATTGGATTAAGAATCAAATCACTCTTTACACAACTCGAACACCCATAAAAATTCAAAGCTCATAAATTATGCAATCATAAAAATAAAAAAATTCATACAACTGTGGAATTCTGTAGTTTAAGATCATATGATCTGTGAATGGTTCCCCAGACTGAAGATTATGCTATAACTGCAAAGCTGTACCTTCTTTTTCCCTACTGCAGCTCAAGATAAGCTACTTCCATAACATGTCCTTTGGTTACGTCCATTCTTCTAAACCAGTCCCCAGCAATTATGCTTTCAGCATCTATAGGAACTCCAAAAATTGCACTAAGCGTGGAGGCAAAATACAAGACAGAAAGCTGTTCTGCCAGCTATAATGCAAGCATAAGCTTGGCAAATCCCAAGAGCAATGCTTCAATAATTCTGTAGGTGATTTTTTTCCTTAAGAATAAAAACATTAAAAAAAAACCAAAATTTAACCTTATAGGCTGGGGTCTAATAAACATGTCTAGTTGCAAGCTACATCTCTAACACAGAGTTGATGTGTTTTGATTGGTTGTTAACTTGTGGAGTCAACTGTTAATTTTATTTCAAATAGTTTATTTGGTTGTATAAAACATTTTGAGATCAATCTCACTCGTATGAGGCTAATTTTTGGGTTGAGAGAGAGGAGCGAAGGGGATGGGGGTATAATAACATTTGATACTTTACATGCATTTATGCAGACAATCCAGCAATACATCCCTGATGAGCGAAGTTTGAGACTTGTTACTTTGCTTGGTAAACTTTCAGGGCCAACCAGGGTGACTTGCTGAAGCATCATATGTATCCGCTTTAATCAGCCAGGAGATTTCTGTGGGGGCAGAGATCCACGAGGTTCTCAAAGAAGGAAAGTACTTTTACAGTTGGAGGATCATGCAGTGTGGATCATCTGACACACTGAAGATGAAGCTTAACAATTATGGAAAACTCGAGACTCTTTTAAGTCATAAAATCAGACCAAAGTCATGCTTATCAATCTCTGGTGAAGTGGATCTGAAAGCTCTTGATAGAATTCCTAGAATTGGCTTGGCTGTGGCTCTCATGCTATGAAGGGGTTTTCAATCAGCAATATTATATATGCAGAAAATGAAAGTTTCACACCTTTAATGATTCTGGTTTTTGTTCTGGCAAAGGGAAGGGTGAAATTAGGCAGATAGTTTTTCTCTTTCAGAATAGAAGGTTGATGGTATTATTTTGATGTACAAACCTATTATTATGTGATAAATACACTCGATGAACATCATTTGTATTACCAAAAAGGACCGTTTATAAATAAATCAAACAAAGACAGAAGTTCTATCAATCATCAAATTCCAAGACACTTGAGGCCATATATTTCTCGCTTTTACTTTTAAGAACCTTTTTTTTGCTTATCATATTCAATCATTACAAGACAGATACATAAATGCAATGTATTTGGTTGGTCCATGGCACAAACCAGAGTTGCCTTATTACAGTGTCTTCAAATTCAGAACAGCTAAGAGTAGGGAACTATAACATGCATTTATTCCTGTGTTCTAGCCCAAAACAATTTCTGTGGTAAATAATTCCTTAGAACAAAAAGATTTCTAGTTTCCGTTTCTAATGCTATTTAAGTATTTTCAAAAGAAAAATCATTAAATCTTATCCATAATGATTGAGCGACTTTTAACATAGTCCCACTTTTCAAAGAAGCAGGATTTCTAGGAGTACATGATCATAAGTTTATTATTAATGCTTTGAAAACGAAGGTTCCTTCAATAGTCAATTATAGTTACCAGTTGAGTTCATGTTATTTCCAATCTAATGGAGCAGAGATTTTCAGGGATTCTTGATTACAAGACTATTAAATAGTGCTTCTAAACGAAGTTTCTTTTCTTTTAGCATGCAAGTATAACCATCATTTGAGTATCACGTTAATTCCAATCCAGTGGCCAAAAAGTTAATCTTTCTTTAGCTATATATTATATACCATCATAAAAGCAATCAACAGAGCATACCTTTTTCTCCCTATTCCTGGTTCAGCCTTGAATTTGTCGTGCACTCGAATTAACAGCAAATTGAGGCTTTGTTTGTGTGAAAAAAGAAAAAAAAAAAAAAAAACTCAAAATAAAAATTCAAACCACCGAAAGGTCAGTGCAGTGCTAAGATCCAAGCTAAAGTAAAACAGTCTTCTGGTGCTCAGTAAGCAATTGTTTCAATCATATTTGACTCAAACTTCATATTAACAACTTTTCTACAGAATCTGTTCAAGCAATAAGATCATAGTAAAATTAATCTGAGATTTGAACCTGCGGCACCATTTTACTAGAAGCTCATCAACATTGGCTTCCATTCGGGTCCCAATTCCTCCCCAGACCAACATGTGACCCCAGTCTCGAATTGTTGAGCCAGTCACTTCTGCACAGCCTTAAAGCCGATCCTTTTGTAGAACCTAACAAGCTGAGACAAAAAATGTCAAGTCAAGAATATATACACAATTAACCATCTAGGTAATCCATAATATATAAGGGACCACTTAAAATGTGTTTATGTGTTTTAACGACATTTTACCAACCCAAGCTTTAAAAAGATTCACTATTATCAGTGCAAATCAAAGGTAATTACCCCAACCTTCTAGTTGCTTTCTCATTTATCTATTCATATGTTTCCTTCAATAAAACCAGTTACAAACACCAATTCTGAAGAGTCAAATGAATTCAACTCCAATCTTCAATCACATAGCAGTCATTGTTTAGAAATGTTCTAATAATCTCTGCGACATACTGGATGCTGAATAGCTTTGCATTACACACATCAAGCCTCGCACACTCATTAAAAGGTCTTGAAAACGAATGGCTAAAGTGGACAGTACAATCACCCAAAGCAAACTTTAAATCTTTAAAGAAATATAGATTACAACTATGCAACACAAAAAATAAAATTAGTATACACAAAGCAAGAACCTTCTTATGGTAAAGATCCGAGTCATTAATAGCAAGCAACTCAGCAGCTCCACAACCACAATCATACCCATATCTAACAGCAACAGCTCCAATGAACAAACCAATACCAAAAATCGATCTCTCCATGCCCAGTGTTTCTCTCCTGAGTCTAATGGAGTCTAAGTGAAGAACTCTGCCCCCCAACCAGACCCTTATGAGCCCCTCAGCCCTCCCCAGCTCATTCTGGGTTTCCAAGCTTCTGGCTGTGATTCTGAAAAAGGGTCCGAGAGTTTGGAGGCGGAGGTCAAGATTCTGGATCCTGGAAGAGGCCAAAATCTCAGACATGGTTGGCATAGTTGCAGCTTCACCGATATCATTGTTAAGTTCATACAGGGTGGTGGTTTTTTGCAGAGAATTCAGATGGAATTTTGGTGGAAGGAGGGAAAGTTTGGACACTGGGATGATTGAAGATGATATGATTAGGGTTTTAGAAGGATTTATTGGATTTGGATAAGAGAATTTGGATTTTGGAAGAGTGCGAAGAAGTTCCATAGCAGAGGAGTGTGTTTAGTTTAGTAAAACTGTCATGTTCGGCAATAAAGAGTTTAATGTCTGAATAAGTGACACGTTGCAAACATATGATCTCTATTTGAATATGATAAAATCAAGTCTGAACATAAATATCGTCGCCTGAGAGATTCGAACTCGCGCAGGGTAACCCCATGTACGTATGCCCTCACCTCGAGGCCAAAGCGAACGCAGATGCTAATTTTTTCAAATTAAAAAAATTTATATTAAAATAATGAATCAATAGAATCAGCCAACAAAATGTTCACGTGAAGGAAGAGAGTTTTTATTTATTTTTATTTTTTATAAAGGAAGATATTGGGTATAGAATTTGATGCAAAGCTTAATTATCTAATTCACAAGAGGGAGACATGTTGATCATTGTTTTAAAACCCAGCTTGGCCCGGCCGGTGAACCAAGCTAGGTCAAGAGAGTCTAAAAACCAAGGAGGGGCATTCACCCAAATTCACCCGACCCACCGGTCCAACCAGTTTTTGGAAAAAACCTAATGAATCAGACACCAGAAAATGGCAATTTTGATTGGTGTTCGATAAGCAAACATGAAGGGGTTTTGAAGGGTGGCTCACGGTGAGTCTGGAGGTGGGGTTTGATTAAGTTTTAATCGTCAAAATCGTCGGAATTTGGCCAAGAAACGACAAAACCCTAGCCTCTAGTTGTCAACTATTGGTGGGTCGAATGGCTTGGGAACTTTAAGGGGTTTTTTAGGGGAGTAGCCAGTGAGTCTAAGGGTGGTGGTGGATGGAGCTATCGTCACTCAAAACAGTCGGAATCTAGCAAAGGACAATTGGAAAAACACATTTTCCGTCGTCGGCGATTGGTGGGTGGAATGGCTTGGGAACTTTGGAGTTTTTGTAAGGGAGTAGCCAATGAGTCTAATGGTGGTAGTGGTTGGAGCTATCGTCGCTCAAGATAGTTGGAATCTGGCAAATGAAAGCCAGAAAAACATGTTTTCCGTTGTCGGCGATCAGCAAGTGATGAGAGAGGATAAAGGGTATGGTTTTGAAGAGAAGAGGTTAGGGATTCCAGTGGTGGTAACAGGGGTGATTTTGGGTGAGAAAACAGTTGGAAAAAAGAGAAAGAAGGTCTACGTTGATGCGTGCTAACATGCACCAGAAATAGTTACCATGCTAATGTGCACCGAATTAAAAAAAAAATTGAACTTTTTTTAGGTGACAAGTCACCAGTTTGACCTACCGGTCAACCCCAGACCTGGCTTCTTTGGCGAGTTTAGCCCTGGGTTGGCTTCTAAAACATTGATGTTGATTGATATTTGCTTTATATAAAGGGACTTTTGAGTAACGATAGGGGGTTTTTGTAATACTTTTTCAAAATTATGGGTACGTTTACAATTAACTTATCTATAAGTGGGTAGATATGAAAAGATATATGTATGTATATAAGGGTGTCAACCGAGTGGCTCGGCTCGGTAAAAAGCTTGAGATCAGCTCTGAGCAGCTCAGCTCGGTAAAAAGCTTGAGATCGACTCGATATTTATCAAGTTGAGCTCGGCTCGGTTTGGCTTGGGTCATTAGGTGAGCCAAGTTTGAACAGCCAATGCTTGGCTCGCCAAGCTCGAATCTAGCTTCAATCGGCTTGAGTATATATGACATTTTTACAACTATTAGGGGGTATAAGAATTTACCAATTTTAAAAAATGACAAACACACCCCCACAAATCGAAATAAGTCAAAAATGATTTGGGGATTTACCGATTTAGAACAAAAAAAAACCTAAAAACTAAAAGTCTCTAGCGATCTGCCCTGCCTCTGGCCCCCTCTCGTCGACGTCGTCGGTCTCATGAGTCTCTGTTCGCCGTAAAAATTCATTGTCCCATTCGCCATCTTTGATTCTCTTCTCTGCTTTGTCTTGAATCTCAAGTATGTCTCTTGATGTTGGAGGAGCTATAGAAATTCTGGGTTGGGTTCTGTATGTGGAGGCGGTGGAGGAGATAAAGAGATGAAAATGTTAGGTTTTACCGTGGGATTCATTTTATATTATTTTTCCACATGTGGAGGCTGTGGAGGAGATAAAGATGAAAATGATGGGTTTTGCAGTGGGTTTCATTTTATATTATTTTTCTTCCATTTTGAATTTGAGATGAGTGTGGAGGAGGATTCAGAAGGAAGGATTGGCAGTAGTGATCTCTATTTTGTTTCTTCATTGGACACAAGGTTACACGATCTCGAATCGAGTTCAAGCCAGCTCGTGTAAAAAACGAGTCGAGTCTCGAGCTCAATTTTCCTGGCTCATCAAGCTCGAACTCGACTCGAACTTTCCAAAGTGTAAAACGAGCCAGACTTGTTTAAGCCAAAACTCAACTCGACTCGTTTACAGCCCTATATGTATATAAAAGTTCTTGAAAATTTAAAGAGCACTTAGAAACAAGGCATTGCATTAGAACATCTTAACAAATAATTTATAATTAGTTTTAAGAGTAAATGACTTTCCCACCCAAGTTTGCCTTAATGATACTTTTCCACCGAAAAAGTTTCAAAAGACTACTTTTTCACCCAAAGTTTATATTCTGTTACTACTCAAAATCGATTCCCGTGACGAAAATTTTCTCCATTACCACCATTTGAATCTCTGATCTCCTCTATACAAAACCCCTCTCACTTTGGCACCTAATTTCTTGCCGATTGCTAATCACCGCAAAGCTAGAGTTTCTTGTTTTTAGCTAATTTTTGACTGATTCTGGCAACAAATATTCAATCGATCACCACCATTCGATCCACTTGTCTCCACTCTACAAAACCATATTGGCTCTTGATAAGTCGTCAAAAGCCAGTGGAGAAAGTGAAGTGTATTTTGGGTATTAAAGAAATATAAACTTTGCGTGAGAAAGTGGTATTTAGAAACTTTTTGGGTGGAATAGTGGTATTTTGAAACTTTTTGGGTGAAAAAATGTCATTAAGGCAAACCTTGAGTGGGAAAAGGTCGTTTACTCTTAGTGTTTAATTAAAAAAATTTAATGGTGGGTCACTTAAATATCGATTTTATCGCATTAAAACTCAAAACAGTTTCTTCGGCAAACTATATTAATAGTGATTAACAAATATAATGCAGAAGGATTTTTCTATAATATCAGTTCAGTACTTAACTCATATTGAAATTTAATAGAATCATAATATAGAACATAAATTAGAATCCTAAAATAGATTAGGAGAAATCACATACATTGAATGTAAAACTCTTTAGCATGAAATATAAAATTCATAATAATTATGAAAGAAATATAGAAAATAAGTCAAGATCAACAATCCACCATTTGTTCAATGGAACAAGATCGCTTGACAATAACTGTGAAGTTGTTTGTGTAAAAGTAAATTTGCAATTGCCCCCTAAAATATAAGTTGAGCTTGAAAGGAGCTGTTATTAATGGGACTTGAATTATAATCTAAATTGCAATTTCGACTGTGTAGTACATACTACACAGTGTTAAAAATAATGAAATATATGAGCCTATTTGATACATTATTTAAAATATAGGCTCCGTTTGGTTCATTATTGGATAGTTTTTAGAGTAATATTTTGAAAAAAGTTAAATTGGGTGGGTATTACGATATAAAATTTTAAAAATTAACAAAAATACCCCCTATGTTTATTTATTTACTAAACACCCCTATAATAAAATATTCAAAGTTAACAAAAACACCTCCAACCCACTCATTAAATACGGGCAGCCGGAGGGTGGCCGGAGTAGCTGTATCGACGCATGACCGACTAGATCTTGTCTGTCGTGCACCACTATGACCTTTTCGGGTCAGATCTACCGTGGATCTGGCCGAAAAAGGCCAAATCTACAGCTAGATCTGACCATTGACGGCCAAATCTAACCGCACTTAGTCATTGACGGCCAGATCTTTGGCAGTAGATCTGGCCAGAAAAAGCTAGATCGACGCACTACTGGCTAGATTCAACCGGTAGTGCGTCATTACACCAGATTCTGGTGGTTGGAATCTGGTAAATTTGGGTTGCTAGGGTATTTTTGTCAATTTAAAAAAAAAAAAAAAATTGAGTTGCTTAGTTAAAATTAACAAATTTAGAGGGTTTAAAAGAAATTAAATAATTTAGAATTGTATTTTAAAAATAGGTGAACCAAAGTTAACTTTTTTGGGAAAACTAGAATAGTTTTAGTTTTCCCAATATGTGAACCAAACGAAACCATAATATTCTAAAAAATTATTCTGAATATGATAAAATAAGATTTTGAGAATGTATTTGGTACATTTTTTGAAAACATTTTCTAAATACATTTAGATGATTTTTTAACCCCCAACATTTGTTAATTTAGCTAAACAACCCCCCCACCCAAAACAATAAAAGTTTATAAATTAACAAAAACACTACCATCCACCCAACCGACTGTTGACGATCACCGTCACACGGTAGTCAACAGAATAACACACGACCAACCGGATCTAACCGATCTGGCCTTTTCTGACCAGATCTACAGCCAAACCATCGTTGACAGCAAAATTTCTGGCTATCGTTAACGGTCAAAATCTAGCACTCAATGATGGCCAACATATAACTGTCATCAACGGCCAAATCTCTAACCGTTTTCAACTAGATCAACATATGATCAACCAAATCCGACCGATCGTACGTCTTTTTGGTGCCAATTGTGGTTGCTAACAACCGACAATGGCTTAAGCAGGTGAGGATATTTTTTATAATTTAAAAACTTTTATTATAAAAGATAATTATTAAATGTTTTGTGTTGAATAGCATAGAATTAGATTTTGAATTGAATTCCGTCAATATTAAAACAAACCAGTTTTTTATTGTTTACTTTAAATAAGATAATAGAATAGAGTTTTAAAAATTTAACCAAACAGGGCTATACTATCAATGAATACTTGTAATAAACTATGATGTAAAAAAAATTAAAAAGACAATATATATACAGGACTAGATAAAATTATGTACAATACCCCAATGCTAGAAGTTCTGATTGCTCTTCACAAAGAACATGTCAATGGAAAGATGTCT